GAAGGAGTACAAGACCGCCCCAAAAGTGGGGGGCGAGTGGGGAATTTTTTTTTTATGTACACACACACACACACACACATATATATATATTAACATACACACCAGTTCAGGGTCTACTAAACAAGTTTGAGTAAAAAAAAGTATCCAATAGGGAATTTAAGTTAGTAATGAAATAACTTTTAGTTAGAGACAGCTGATATGGAATGGTGTAATGCATGTAGGATACAAAGTAAGAGTAACTATTTTTTGTTAAGGTTACAAAGAATATAGACGCAATCAGATTACTGATACATTTAGTAGAATGGGAATTCTTAGCAGGATTGCAATTTTAAGTCTGTACAGTAAAGAACTTTTATTTATATATATATATATATATAAATAAAAGTTCTTTACTGTACAGACTTAAAATTGCAATCCTGCTAAGAATTCCCATTCTACTAAATGTATCAGTAATCTGATTGCGTCTATATTCTTTGTAACCTTAACAAAAAATAGTTACTCTTACTTTGTATCCTACATGCATTACACCATTCCATATCAGCTGTCTCTAACTAAAAGTTATTTCATTACTAACTTAAATTCCCTATTGGATACTTTTTTTTACTCAAACTTGTTTAGTAGACCCTGAACTGTTTGAAAAAACAATGTATTCATAAGGTACAATTCAAGAAGGGTCTTTCTAAGGTCCTAAGTACAGCTTCTGTTTATGTTCTTTAGAAATCCCACAGGTTAGTGTAGTGGTCACAAACAAACAAGGTACTGTCCTTCTGTTCCTTATCTTGCAGATTGCTGGATTGTCTTACAACTTATTGAACTGTTCAGTATTATTGTAACATTAAATAATTATTTGAATTGGGATAATTTGCCTGAATTAATTTTGTTCATATCAGATCCCAACAACCACATTAACCGAAGTCACTTTGCCCGTGTATTATGTAAACTATATTTGTAATGTTAAATGTTTACAAATGAGAGTGATGTTATTTCTTTAAATAAATAACTAGACCTCTTTTTTTTTAGGCATCACTGTCCCTAAAACGATTGTAGAGCCTTGGTAAATATTGAAAAAAAGAATCTTTCTAATGAAAGAAAAAAATTGTTCAAAACTCTTTGTCAATCAGACCTACACTTAATACATATCCACTACTTTTAACTTGGACTGCAACCAACCATTATTTTAATAACAGATTAATCTGGCGACTATTTCTACAATTAATCAGATGTTTAAAAAAACAATTTTCCACATTACATAAACAAATGCATTCATTTAAACAATGCAACGTTTCATTATTAAAAATCATTTGTTCAAGAATAATATTTATAAAGTGTACAATAGGTCCTTACAGTGTTAACAAAACTACTAAATTTTATACGATTTAAAATTGTTTAGGCTATATGCTCATAAAATATACCATGCCAATGTAAAGGGCCAGTACAAATATGACTGCTACTGCTGATGGTTAAAACTACATCTGAGTATGCATAAAGAATCCTCAACCCATTTACACCAGGCTATGTACTCTGCAAACACCCAAATAACTTTGGTCTGCTTATTGTGTTTAATACTATGTTTGGTTGTTCATGTTTCATGTTTACATGAATGAAACACCAATTCAAATGCATTTACCAACCATTATTAGCAGCCTACACAACCCACCATTATGTTCCTAAATATATAATTAGCATCACAATATACGTAAAATCAGGTACATAATTTTCATTTCATAACTTCTCACATTATTAACCCAAATGATTGATTTACTTGGCTCCAAGAAACCCTTCTTCCATAACATTAACTGTGTATTTAGTTTAGGTGCTAATGCATTAGGGTCATGCTCCCCTGCAAATACAAATATGTTTTGCATATTTGGTAAAACATGTAAAATAAAGTGCTCCCAAACTTTAGATGACTTGGTCATCCACTTTTCTCTGCATTAACTGTGCTCATGCCTATTCACTGCTTCTGCCATTTTCAAATGTTTTGATATGCCTAACTGGCGTTCTCCCCCAGTCTTCTTCTTTTGACTGACAGCTGTTACTGTGAGTTTGATGTGTGCTCGCTTGCAGTGTGAACAATTCTTCTTATTTATAATTCCTCATTGAAATGCTTTCACCACAAATTTTTGTTAGCTTCATAGTCCTGTTTGGATGGATGCATGTCGCAGAAACAGTTGGTAAATGGCTGTGCGTTGCACTTTAACTGAGATGGGTAAAAAAAAAGTGGAGTCACATAACATTAGGCAAAACCAGCCTTATTGTTGCGACAGTCTTTTCTCTTGAAAAAGTAGGCGATGATATTTGAAAACACTTCTAACAAATTACAAATCTCACCTTTATGTAGCTTATTCTAGTGGGTTTTGTTGTCTATTTCTCCTGGTTCTGCAATTTGCTAAATAGATTTGACCTTAATGCACATCCATGTATGGGACTGTGTCATCAGTGAAGTGGGTATTTCCCCACAACCACAGGGGGAAGTATTGAGAAAATTGCTGACTGGTACACCAAAATGAGGAGAAGATGACTACAAACTATCGGGCTGGGGCTACCTTCTATTGTAATGCCCAAAATAAAATAAAAACAAAGGCTCAACTAGAAGAGTCACAATTGAGGGACAGGTTTCTCAACTAATGACTCGACTATTCGACTGTTAGGGGGCAGCCCCACAATAAATGACCATAAAAGGGGACCTCGCTGAAAGGGGTCAGAGAGCAAATGGCAAGTCTAGGGGTACCTTCCAGAAAGGAAGCACTCTCCTTGATGTAGGCTCCCAGTTGTTCAAAGATCCCATTGATTTTCTTCTTTGCTGTGACAAAGTGCTTGAGTGGTGATGCATTCACTTCCGCCATCAGTCTTTTATCTTTCTTGCTGTGGACTGCGTTTGTGTTGGGTCGTGTGAAAACCAGAGACATCGCACTGGGAAAAAAATGAAAAAGAAAAAACAAACTTAAAAACAAAAAACACTTGCTGAAGCATGTCTGGCAAATATTTCACTCAAATTCATTGTAGACAGCACTCTTCCAAAAAAGGACAATTCTATTTCCACATAATGGAACCGGAAATACACTCTATCCCTTAGTTATAGGTCTAGACTGAGGGTCATCCCATGATACAGCGCTCCTCTCCTCTGCTCCTCTCTCTCCATGCTGCTATATGCCAACATTACATGTCATTAACTGTGCGTCTCCTCTCTTCCATAGTGTGTCCTGTCTAGCTCCCTGTACCTTTCTCCAGGTAGCCCTGGCTCTGGAGCTCTGTTTCTGATGAGCAGTCACCGGCCACATCAACCTCCCAAGTGTTTGTTTGCTGTGTCTTGTTGTTTTTCTTTTCTTTTCTCTCTCCTCTATCCATTCACCCCAACCCCTTGAGGCAGAAGGCCGCCCACCAAGAGCTGGGGTCTGTCAGAGGTTTCTTCCATTAAAGGGAGTTTTTTTCTCCCTGCTGTTGCCAAGTGCTTGCTCAAGGAGGATTTGTTGGGTTTTCCTCTATAATAATAGTTATAATAGTAAGGTCTAGACCTTACTTTATAAAGTGTCCTGAGATGACTTTTGTTATGATTTGCCGCTATACAAATACAATTTGTATTAAAATAGCATTTCCATTGTTACAAGGGAATGTTAAGCAAGAAGTCTTTGAAGTGGCTGAGGTGAAATATGTCCAGAAATCATCAGCTTTACTAAAACACCTCTAAACATGCATTTAGACATTTCACACAACTTTTGGTAAACATAATTTCACATTTAAGTCACATAACATTTTCAGCTGTCATAAGAGAAAAAGATAGAGATACTAAGCCAGTCTTATGGTGGCAATGAGCAGAGAGGCGTTTCAGCTCTGCACTCCAGTGTTGTTCTGTGCCGATAGGTTAGATAATGAGAATAGATGGTTCTGGTGTCTTATTGTCGAAAGGTCAGAAGTGTGAAGTCATGGAATGTGTATTCTACCATTCACATTGTAAGGTCTAGAACTTACTTTGTAAAGTGTCCTGAGATTATTTAGTTGTGGTTTGGTGCTATACAAACAAAATTGAATTGAACTACATAATGGCATAAAAGCAATATACCAATGATCGTTTGACCCTCATAATATTATTGCTTGACCATGAACACCTACTGTTGGCATTTGGAATGACACTGGTAGCATTATTAGCTTGAAAGTTATTCAAGAAAAATGATAAAGACATGCCAGATACTGAATCGCTTGGTTAGGGGTAAAACTGATTTCAGTGAATGGACTGTGGGCAAAGTGGTGAAAATATCACATTTTGGCAAGTTTGTGTTCTGCTTGTTCAACAGCTTACTGGATTTTCCTATATTTTGCCACATTCATTTTACCCTCTACCTTTACAAGCCTTCCAAGGTTGGCTGCCGAGAAGCATCCCCACAACATGATGCTGCCACCACCCTGCTTCACAGTGGGGATGGTGTGTTTGTGGTGATGCGCATTGTTTGGTGTCTACCAAACATAGCATCTTGTCTGATGGCCAAAAGCACCATTTTAGTCTCATCAGACCAAAGAACTTTCTTCCACTTAACCATGGAGTTTCCCACATGCCTTTTGGCAAACTCTAGTCGAGATTTAATATGAGTTGTCTTCAGTAGTGGCTTTCTCATTGGCACTCTCCCATGAAGCTTTGACTGGTGAAGAACCCGAGCAACAGTTGTTATATGCAGTGTCTCTCCCATCTCAGCTGCTGAAGCTTACAACTTCTTCGGAATAGTCATAGGTGTCTTGGTGGCCTCTCTCACTAGTCTCCTTCTTGCACAGTCACTCAGTTTGTGAAGATGACCTGATCTAGGCAGATTAAGACATGTGCCATATTCCTTTCATTGTTTGATGATGGATTTAACTCCAGGGGATGTTCAGTGTGTTGGGAATGTTTTTGCATCCATTCCCTGACTAATACTTTTCAATAACCTTTTCTCTGAGTTGCTTGCAGTGTTCTTTTTATCTTCATGGTGTAATGGTAGCCAGCAGCTCTGATTAACCAGTGACTGGACCTTCCAGACACACGTGTCTTAATACTACAATCACTTGACACATTCAATGCACTCAGTTGATCCCTATTTCACTAATTGTGAGACTACTAGCACCAACTGGCTGGACCTCTGTTAAATTAGGTCAATCATTTTAAAGGGGGTTAATATTTATGCAATCACTTATTTCCCATTACATATTTTTTTGATATTACTTTGTAAAAACCTGTTTTCACTTTGCCAATAAAGAGGTTTTTTGTACATTTTTTGTAAAAAACAAAAAGCCAAATTATATTGACCATGAATGATTTATAAGATCAATAAAAGGTTAAAAAATCCAAGGGGGTAAATAATTTTTATAGGCACTGTATCAATGCAAAATCTCAGATAATTGCAGTCTCACTCCTGTCAAACCCTAGTATTACTGATCTCATTCAGGATCACAAAAAAGCAACCCTATTCGCCAATTAAATTTTTTTTCTCTGGAACATTTTAAACCTGGCAACAATATAGACTTTCCATCTAAATCCATTTGTTTCTCTCTTTAATGAAAGAACCTTAGGTATAGTCATTAAACAGCCTTGGACATACAGTAACAGTTTGAGTTGTCTTACCTTAAAATATGCATTTATTGCTTTACTTTCACAGGTAAACGGTTTAAAACATTATAAAATCCACAGCTCTGACCAGATTATTTGAGCTAAAATCTAATTCTACTCTCTGAGCAAGCAGACAGCTTTCCTTCTTGAGACAGTAAATATGTTAGTCATTATTGTGTGATTCGCTCAGTTTCAGCAACAGAAACACCTTTTCATGATCATGTCCTCATGAAGCTCATTCAGTCTGGGCCCTTTCTAGCTCTGACATGCATGCACAACTTACTGATGTCATCACCACAGAAACCAGTCTGTTGGCCTCATTCACAAGAAAAGAATAAAATAGAACAGAAAAATTCTGTAAATGCATGTGTATGCAAGTTTATACAAAACCTAAAAACATGTTACATTGCACTCTTACATCTATTCACATTCAGCTGAGTTAAGAAGCAGTTTAAAATATTGCAGATAATATAAACAAAGTAAATATTACTCATAATTAGTTAATGTGCCACATAATAAATATTGTACATTGAGAATATAATAAGACAACACATCATGAAAGTTACATAGTTCTATGATGTAGGATATTGTAATATGATAAAGCTAAGGCCATAAAATAAATGCAACACTATTCAATTTCACTTCTGGGTTGACCTTTGGATCAGGGGAACACCGGTGAGCGCACTTGTAATGGGAATGCAATATGTTAGAGCTTATCATGACTACAGGAGATCCCTGTTGCACAAGGACTGCTGTCTAGTATAATAAATAATACAAGTAACATCCAAATGCAATAACTTTTCTCTGATGTTTAAAGTCATTGTCCTGCTGCGTCACCCAGCTTACTCTGAGCTTCAGCTTGCCAACAGCCAACCTGACACTATCCTGTAGGATACCTTGATAAACTTGGGAACTCATTTTCCCTCCACAATGGCAAGCTTTTAATTCTGTCTCTCAGAGTGGGAATGCACCTACAATGTGAATTTCAGACCCCTCCATGATTTCTAAGTGGGAGAACTTGCAAAATCGCAGGGTGTTCAAATACTTCTGTTCCTCACTGTATGTTAATGCATTGTTTCTGTAGAGAATTGTCATAAGACAGGAAAAGTTACAATATCTGCATTATGCCATTTAAATTTTGGGTTTCTCAATTATCCACTTTGTTTAGAGTGTTACAAATCTCATTTCAGGTAGGATTTGAGGTATTGACATTGTTGAAAATGTAGCTTATATGTCAATGTTTTTTGTTTATGCATTGGCCTTGTTTATGCATTGGTTTGGGCAGACATTTGTGTAGTGTGCGACAGCATTATCAGGCTAATCAAACAGCTGATTGGAAATTTCTCTGAACTGTCAACTCAGGATTAATTATCTGAATGACCAATGATCTTCAGTAGCTCCTGAATGATGGCATGGATTTCTGGAATGTCAGAAATCTGGTTGGCTGTCTTGGTGGTGCACAGTTCAAAATTAGTTCAGTGCACTTGTGCGAGTACAAAGACACCAACATAACGTGATACAGATATCATGTATTGTGAGCAAATTCAAATAAAACCAGGCAATAATATATTTACAGGCTGTAAAATATACAGTGCCTTGCGAAAGTATTCGGCCCCCTTGAACTTTGCGACCTTTTGCCACATTTCAGGCTTCAAACAAAGATATAAAACTGTGATTTTTTGTGAAGAATCAACAACAAGTGGGACACAATCATGAAGTGGAACGAAATTTATTGGATATTTCAAACTTTTTTAACAAATAAAAAACTGAAAAATTGGGCGTGCAAAATTATTCAGCCCCCTTAAGTTAATACTTTGTAGCGGCCAACACAAACTAGACTTTTTCAGTAATTTGTTGCTTTGCTTTCCTTCATCAAAAGGACCTAAACAATTGTTAACCTCAGCTCGAAAATGATTTTCAGAACTCAAAGATCTCCGGTACAGCCTAACACTAAACAATTCCTCATGATCTGCCTCTGCAGGGGTACTAATGCCATCGGAGCCACACTGTATAAAACAAATACATGAAACGATCGATTTAATTCATGTAGACTGATGAATGCACTTTTGACTGTTTTGGCATTTTGTGATGTGACTTTGTGGTGTTGGGTGCCTTTAATCCTTGTGTATTTCATCTCACTCCAACAGTGTGTGAATACATTTTATATACTTCTGTTTGCAGGAGTGTGTGTGTGTGACAGACAAATAACATATGTACAATAGGTCAGAACAAAACTATCTGCCCAGTTAATGTAATTGTAATATGATCGTTAAATTGGCTCATGGATAGATGTTAAAACGAACCACCCTGTTGTTTATCTGTATTCAATGGCCCGTGAGTCAAAATTCACACCTAAAGTCATTCAAATGAATCATCATTAGCGTGGAAGGAAAATACTTAAACAAGTCTCACTCATCCACTAACATGAATTAGCGAATTGCGTGTTTGCTTAACTGCAACTAACAAAACGAGGATGTAGGTAAATATTGAAATTCCCTTCGATTGGTGGCCAGTCTGTAAAGCACCGGGTGAGCAGGCGCTCCCTATTGATGAGCTTCAGCTAATCCATCGCATTTCCCTGTAAATAGCTTTCTGCATGAGAAAGAGACCCCCCCCCCCCCCCC